AAACCAGGGAGCTGTGAGGAGTGAGCAAGTCCTTATGGAAGCAGGAGATAGGAGTAAATGGTGGAGGCTGGGTGACTTTGAGAGGCTGAGGTGGGTGGATAGCCTGATCACAGGAGTTCGAGACCAACCTGAGCAAGAGGGAGATCCTGTCTCTATAAAAATAGAAAAACTAGCCAGGTGTTGCGGTGGGCGCCTATAGTCCCAGGTACTTGGGAGGCTGAGGGAGGAAGGTCGATTCAGCCCAGGAGTTTGAAGTTGCTGTGAGCTATGATGGCATAGCACTCTACCCAGGGCAGCAAAGTGAGACTCTGTTCAAAAAAAAAGAGTAAATGGTGGGCTCAAAAGACCTCTCCTTCCTCCTCCCCGGCCCCCCACAGTTCAGGAGCCCCGTCTGGGAGGAGCAAGCTCTTGCCCAGCACCTGCTCCAGGCTTTCCACATTCAGTCTCATTGCATCTTCAAAAGAACCCTGGGAGACCAGTCTGAGCCAGAGGGAGACCCTCTGTATATGGGGACAGTGCCCTGCTCACTGAACCACAGGCGCCGCCCTTTTTTTTTTTTCTTTTAGAGACAGAGTGTCATTTTGTTGCCCTCAGTAGAGTGCCGTGGGATTACAACTCACAGGCAACCTCCAGCTCTTGGGCTTAGGCGATTCTCTTGCCTCAGCCTCCCAAGTAGCTGAAATTACAGGTGCCCACCACAATGCCCGGCTATTTTTTTGTTGCAGTTTGGCTGGGGCTGGGTTTGAACCCGCCACCCTGGGTACATGGGGCCAGCGTCCTACTCACCCAGCCACAGGTGCCGCCCAGGAGGAATTTTTTTGTAATCCCATTTCCCAGAAGAGGAAACTGAGGTTGGGGGAGGAGGAGAGTATTCTCCACCTTTGTCTGCAGTTCCTGGCCCTGCCCTTTCCCAGCTGGCCCTATTGTTGTTGCTGTGATTTCTCTGCTGCCTGGCCTCTGGCCATTTCTAGAACCCATAGTGGGGGGGTGCAGGCAGGGAAGGCTGCCTTTAACCCTCACCCAAGCTTATCAGTGCAGCATGGGGCCTGGATCCACAGTCATGGTCACTGGGTCACTCAAGTGGGAGGCCTGGCTAGCTACAGCAGGTCCCAGCTCAGCTATGTATCCCTGGCAACCACCCTGGGCTGCCTCTGCTCTACCCTCTCACCCTACCCTTCTCTCCCTGCTCCCTCCCCCCACCTCCCAGCACTGGCTGTCACCACCAAGCACAATGCCAAGTCTAGGAAATTGCAGCAGGGAGGTCAGGACCCGCCCAGCTTCCTAGAAAGAGAGGCAGGGCCTCTGTCCCCACTGCCTGCCGCCCCTTACCCAGGTGAAGCAGGTGACATTCCAAGAGTGCATCGCAGGGGATATACACTGTTTTCTCCGCTCTGTCATCTTTGGTAACTTTGCTGCTGTGTCTGCTTTTTTTGCTAACAGCTTTACTGTGATGTAATTCGTATACCATAAAATGTACCTGCTTCAGTTCAATCGTTTTTAGTATATTCACAGAGTTGCTGGGCTATCACCATAGTCAATTATAAAACGTTTTCATCACCCTCAAAAGAACCTCTCTACCAATTAGCAGTCACTCCCATGCGCTCCTCCCTCAGCCCCTGGTGACCACTGGTCTACTTTCTGTCTCTGAGGACACGTGGGTAGAATCGAGCAATGTGTGCTCTTTTGTGACTGGCTCCTCCCCACTTAGCCTGCTGTTTGCAGGGTTCAGCATCTACTGTTAATGACTTTCAGTTGGTGTGCTGCTGTGGCACATTGGTGTGCCATAAGAGGATCTTAGGTGTGCCGCAAAAAAAAAATGTTTTTTTTTTTCAGTTTTTGCCCAGGGCTGGGTTTGAACCTGCCACCCCTAGCATATGGGGCCGGCACCCTACTCCTTTGAGCCACAGGCACCGACTGCAGCAAAAATTTTTAAATATCACTGAGATGGCGCCTGTGGCTCAAAGGAGTAGGTTGCCGGCCCCATATACCAGAGGTGGTGGGTTCAAACCCAGCCCTGGCCAAAGACTACAAAAAAAAAAAAAAAATCACTAATTAGGCTTGGTGCCTGAAGCTCAGTGGCTTGGGCTCCAGGCACAATCACCCGAGCTGGTGGGTTTGAATCCAGCCTGGGCCTGCTGAACAACAATGACAACTACACCCCAAAAATAAAAATAGCCGGGCATTGTGGTGGGCACCTGTAGTCTCAGCTATCTGGGAGGCTGATGCAAGAGAATCGTTTAAGCCCAAGAGTTTGAGATTGCCATAAGCTGTCACACCACAATACTCTAATGAGGGTGACTAAATGAGACTCTATCTCAAAAAAAAAAAAAGATCATTAATTAAATTATTTTCAAAAAAGTTCAAAGGCCAATAAGTATATATATATATTTTTCTTTTTTTTCCTTTTTGAGATAGAGTTTCACTATGTTGCCCCTCAGTAGAGAGCCGTGGAGTCACAGCTCACAGCAACCTCACACTCTTGGGCTTAAGTGATTCTCTTGCTTTAGCCTCCCAAGTAGCTGGGACTACAGGCACCCGCCATAATGCCCAGCTATTTTTTTGTTGCAGTTGTCATTGTTGTTTAGCTGGCCCGGGCCAGGTTTGAACCCGCCAGCTTTGGTGTATGTGACTGGCGCCCTAACCACTGAGCTACAGGCCCTGAGCCTATGTTTTTTTTTTTTTACTGTTTTTTTATTAACATAATTTAAGTATGCCATGGAAGTTTAACAAAGATTCGAGTGTGCCACGAGGTAAAAAAGGTTGAGAAATACTGATCTATGTTGTAAGTGAAGCAGGACTTTATTTTCATGGCTGAGTGATATTCTCCTGTATAGCGCTACTATAATTTGTAATCCGTTCATCTGCTGATGGACATTTGGGTTGTTTCCACTTTTTGGCTATTGTGAATAAGGCCTGCTATGAACATTCATGTATAGGTTTTTGTGTGGTTGCTTGAAGCTTCCATTTTCTACCCTCTAAAATGGGGATGAAAATGCTTCTCCCCTCTGGCCCAGGTGAGCTCAGAGACGAAAACCCCAGTTTTAGATGGTGGAGGGGAGCCAGGCACTGCAGCTCTGCAGCTCTTCTGGCTCATGAGAAGGAGACATCTCCACCTCCATCCACCCCGGGGAGTGGCAGACTCATCATCTTGGGCCAGAAAAATCCCACTTGACGCACAATCTTGAGCAGAGGCCAGGAGACCTGCTCCAATGATGAGTGAGCTGAGTGACTCCTAGGCCCTTCCAGCCCTGCCACATGGTGTTTTCTGGACTTTAAGGAGCCTCAAACCCTTCCCTGGAAACTTCAGGCTGTCGGGGAGAGGGAGAGGACACAAAATGGAGGTCAGAAATAGACTTGCAGCTCAGGAACTCACCTCTGACCTCCACTGAGGGGTGGGGGAAGCGATGGAAGGAGGGTGGGGAACCCATCATCCCAACTCCTATGTCACCACAGACTATGGGACCCTTTTCATCTCCCCAAATTCAGCCAAGCCTCGCTATAGCCTGTGAAAGAGTGAGGCATGGGGAAACTGGCTGGGCGCCTATGGCTCAAGCTGCTAAGGCTCCAGTCACATACACCTGAGCTGGCTGGTTCGAATCCAGCCCGGGCCCACCAAACAACAATGATGGCTGCAACCAAAAAATAACCGGGCCTTGTGGCAGGTGCCTGTAGTCCCAGCTACTTGGGAGGCAGAGGCAGGAGACTCGCTTGAGCCCAGGAGTTGGAGGTTGCTGTGAGCTGTGATGCCATAGCACTCTACCCAGGGGGACAGCTTGAGGCTCTGTCTCAAAAAAAAAAAAAAGATCAGCAGCTAACAAGCAGGAGTAGGAGAGCTACTTAGGTCCTTCCCAACCCCTCTGTGGCAACCTACCTATCCCTCTCCCAAGGGGCTGCCCTGGGTAGAGTGCTGTGCCATCATAGCTCATAGCAACCTCAAGGGTACACAGCAGCATTTCTGTTTAGCCCTTGGGGAGGAGTATGGGGGGCTCTGGGTGGGGGAATTATGATTTTCCCTCAGAGGAAAATATAGGATGAATTTTCTCAAAGGCCATCTAGGTGCTAACCTGCTGACTTACAGATTTCTATGACTTCATTTTGATAATAGCACTTTATTGGGTATCTACAGATGCCAGATGCTGGTGCACATACCAGCTCGAATCTTCAGCATCCTCGGCAGACACTGGGGTTGAGGAGAAAGCCAGTGTTCCTTAGAGCTTGCCACACACTGGTCCTATTCTGAGCATGAGGAAAGTCATCCAACCCTCACAGCAACGTCAATATGTAGTAAGAGCTGATGCTGCCCCTGCTTTCTAGAGCAGGAAGTGGAGTCAGAGGCTAACTGTGTTGACTGAGACCACAAGGCCATGGGTGGAGGAGCCAGGATTCAAACCCCAGCCTAGAGCTGGAGCCTGAACTCCCACCTGCTGTGCTGGAGCTACTTGAGGCCACCAAGTTGCAGGTGACAAAGCTGAGATTTGAATCCATGTTTGTGAATTTGAAACAGCTGCTACTTGTGTCAAATTGTATTCCAGACCATCACCATCCACAATCCCCACCACCTCCCAGGGTCCTGGAGTTAGAGAATCAAACTGCAAGCTGGAGGGTCTTAGGGGTTTTCTGAGTGTTCTGTCTTTCTGGTGGGGACACTGAGTCAGGGAGAGGACATGAAGGACTGGCAGAGGCAGGGCCAGCTCTCCCACCTAGTGTCTAGGGTTGAGAAGCTGCCCACCCCAGACTGTCCTTACCTGTGCCTCTCTCTTCCTCTTCCAGACGGAGCCTGTAGCCAGAGAGGCTGCCGAGCAGGGCCAGGCCGGGCCCTGCCCGCAAGGACGCCCAAGCCCTTCACCGGCCCCTGCTCCACAGAGCCCACCAGGCTCCCCTGCTGGCCCCACCATGACGTCAGAGTCCACATCACCCCCAGTTGTGCCCCCGCTCCACTCCCCCAAGTCCCCTGTCTGGCCCACTTTCCCCTTCCACCGGGAGGGCAGCAGGGTCTGGGAGCGGGGTAGTGTCCCATCTCGGGACCTACCCAGTCCTCTACCCACCAAACGGACCAGGACATATTCGGCGTGAGTACCTGCCCCTTCCTCAGGCTCCGTGACCCTTCCCCAGGACAGGGCTCAGGCTCTCCTCCAAGCCCTGTTGCCCTCACCTGAGGATGGTGGGGCAGTGTGAGAACCTTCCAGTTACTGCAGTGTTTGTCATCCACCTGTCCACCCACCCATCCATTCATTCATTCCACAAAGACTTTTGAGCTCCTGACTAGGGGATCCAGGAGGAATAAGGTGAAGGCCCAGCCCACATGCTACTTACACTCCAGAGGGAATCTGTTCACTGTGAATTGCCACCCAGCAGAGTTAGGGTGGAGACCTGGCCTGGGCCATCAGGGGAAAGGGGACCCCATCTGCTTTGGCAGATATATCAGATGAGGGAGTTGAGGGTCCAGGCAGAAGGAACCACATGGGCACAGATGGAGATGTGGAGTTAACCTTTGGAGAGGGTGAGCATGGAGCCTAGCCCTGGGCCTCAGGGTGGGTGAGGTCCTGTGGAGGAGGGGGGCAGACATGGCTGGACCAAAGGAGTTTTTTGATAGTAAGCAGTGGTTGTCTTCTGTGCTGACCCAAGGCCAGGCACTGAGCAGATGCTTAGTAAGTGATGAGGGAATGAATGAGTGAGTAGGATACAGCTGCTTGAGGAGATAGAGAGTTCTTCATCCAGGGAGGCACTCAAGCTGGTGCTGGAAAGTCTTCACACAGAAATCCTACTGCAGGAAATCATGTAAGCCCGAACAACCTTAGGAAGGAGGTGCTGAGCAGAGAGGGGCACTGTTTAGGATAGTCAGGAGTCCCACCTGCTCTGCTATCCTGGGAGAGCCATTCCCCTCTCTGGGCCTCAGTCTCACTATCTGTCAGGTGGGGATGCTATGAGGACCGAGTGTAACTGTGCAACTTCTGGCTGGGGTGGGTTTCCTAGAGCCCTGAGGCAGGCTTGGCAGGGTAGGGGGCACGAAAGCTGTGGGGTCCAGGGAGGGTCTTCTCTGGCTACAGCACCAATCCCCCTAACCTATCTCCAGGACAGCCCGTGCCTCAGCCGGCCCCGTGTTCAAAGGTGTCTGTAAGCAGTTCTCACGCTCACAGGGCCATGGCTTCATCACTCCTGAGAATGGGTCGGAGGACATCTTCGTGCATGTGTCTGAGTGAGTTCCCTCCCCTGTTCTTGGCTGGGCCCCTGCCATAGTATTCCCAACAGTACCTCAAAAAATGCCTCCCCAGACCTCTCCCCTTCCTGGTTGAGGTCTGCTCATTCCTCGGCAGAGGAGAGCTGGGCCAGGGAGGGAGCACACAGACCTCAGCTGGCACCACTGGCTGGGCCATGGGAGCCTGTTGCAGCATCATGGGGGCCTGAGAGAACATGACCGGTTCCTTGGCCTCTGAGCCTGGAAAGGCCCTTCAGGCAGGTGAGGGAGGAGGTGGCAAAGAGGGTCTAGGCAGGCCCCACCCACTCCTGATGCCAAGATGACCAGAGAAGGCCAATCAGGGACCACACTGTGCCTGCAGGACACAGAGAGGGAGGTACTGTCTGTGATTCTTCTTTTACAGACCAGGGAGCTCAGGCCCTGAGAAGCCAGGCTTGCCCAGTCTCCTGGTCTAGCGAGGCAGGTGGCAGGGCTACCTGAGAACTGGAGCCTATCCTTAGGCTGACCCCCTCCTCCCTCCCAGCAGCATTGAGGGGGAGTACGTGCCAGTGGAAGGTGATGAGGTGACCTACAAGATGTGCCCCATCCCGCCCAAGAACCAGAAGTTCCAGGCCGTGGAGGTGGTGCTCACCCAGTTGGCCCCCCACACTCCTCACGAGACGTGGTCTGGCCAGGTTGTGGGTTCCTAGGCTGGGTGGCTTTCGTGCCAGCCGGCCAGGTGGGTGGAGAGGCACATGGGGTGGACAGGCAGCAGCCGGCCCTGTGCCCCACTGCACCAACTGGCCAGTCCCTGGGGGCCTCAGTGTGTACATCTGTCTGTCTGTCTATGCTTGTGGCTGTGAGCGTGTGCTCCACCCATCCCGTGACCATGACTGCTGGGTGAGTTGACTAGGAATTGGGTGGAGGAGGCGGCTGCCAGGCCTGGCTTCTCTGCTTCCACTGCCCCTTTCTCCTCCCTGCCCCAGACACACAGGGTCTGCTCGGCCTCCTGGCCACCATCCTCGCACTGGGCTCTGGGGGAACAGTGGGAACCCTCCATAGATGCTTGCTCTCCTTGCCCCAACCTGTGCCCTCCTCTGCCAGGCCCTGACACTGGGCCAGACTCTGCTGCACTATTCATGGCCCCAACCCTGGGCTGGGGTCTCCCACCATGGCCTGGACCCTTCCCCTTAGGAGCTAGGCTGGTAAGTGCTTTGGGGGAGCCTCCCAGCCTTTGGCTAGGAGACAAGAGGCCAAAACACAGAGACACAGTGCCCTCCCCGCCATGAGGCTGACCTTCTTGCTCTCAGTACACCGGGGGAACAGGAAAGAGGGGCCTAAGGGCACAAGAGGACTGGGTGTTTCTGTGTTGTTGGCCAGTCCCTCCTCTCAGCCTGGCCACAGCTGTGTCCCTTCCCCTGGCCATGCTGAACTGAGCTGCCTCTCTTGCCCTGAGGAGGTGAGGGTCAAGGGAATAGTGGGGGAGGTCCACCTCCCTGGCTCAAATGGAGCCATCCCCTTTACCCTGACTTAAAAACTCATCAACACTCTGCCCCATGCCCTGCCACAACAGCTGCTGAGAATGCCGCAATGAAGAGACACATATGCTCCCAGGTAGGGGCAGGCCTGTGTGCTCACAAGGATGGCCCTCAGCCTGAGAAAGCTCTGGCCCCGCAACCCTATGCCAGACCCTTGTCTGTCCTAAAGCCACAGGACCGGTGGTTCCCACTGGCCCCTGACAAACCAGTGGCTTAAGATGTGGCCTTAGTTTATCTATCCCAGATGTGTGGCCCCTCTCAGGCCAGGGTATGTGTGTACACACATTCATTCTTGGGCAGAGGCAGGAGGCGTGGCCCGGGAGGCTGGGAAGCAGGAGGCTGCCTGCCTGCCCCTTCCCACTCCTGCCTACCACACTCCCTTCCAAAGAGCACATCATCAGACCGGGGAGAGAAATGGGGTTCAAGGGAGAGCCTTCCAGGGACAGTAACCCTGTATGACCCTAAGAGGAAAATTTGAGCTCAAATGCCCAGGATGAGGGGGACAGTGACTACCTAAGAGGATCTCTGAACCTGTAGGTGCCCCAAGATCCCACAGCAGTGGTCAGAGGGGCACCTGCACCCCACATCCATCCCAGGGCTTGCCACAGGGAGGCTAGAAGCCCAGAGCTGCTGAGGTAGTCTGGACAGCCCCAAAGCTGGGGGCCCTGCCTGTCTGGTACCCCACTGAGCTAGGCTCCAGCAAGGCCGGTCTCCTGGGGAACCACGACCCCACCTCCCTTGGAAGAGGAATGTACAGGTTGAATCCTGGGAACCCCAGAGGCCTCCCTCCTGTGAGGAGGCCCCTTTTAGGCACCAGTCAGCCCCGGGGTGGGGGCAGCCGCTCTCCTCCCCACTCATGGGCCTGCAGTGCCCAGCCAGAGGTCCTCCCAAGAACCCTGCCACCCAGCTCTCCATCTTTCCTAACACTGGCAATAAACCCTCACTGTGACCTGCTGTGGCCCAGAGCTGCCTCTGTCTCTCTGAGTCCCTGGAGATGGGGCTGGGGGAAGGACACACCAAACTGGCCCTTGGCTGGGCCTCCATGGCAACTCCCTGTACCCTCCTACCCCAACTCGATCAAAGACTTCCTGTGTGACCTGGCCAAGTCCTTGCCCTCTGTGCCTATTTCCTCTCTGCCAGTAGTGACCATAACAGCACGTGACCAGGGCCAATTATCCATTCAGACACAATTGGCACCATACCTTGATCTGGGAACTTTAATATTTGTGACAAAGTTCTCTAAAATATGCACCTTCCCTAGGGCCTGGCACCCAAATCAACTGGGACAGGCAGGCGGGGTGGGCTAGATCTCTCATGACAACATACACGCCTCCTCCCTGTATAGACAGAAACCTGTTCTGTTCAGAACACAAGCAGCAGCTGTGGCCAGGGCCAGTCTCATCAGGAGCTGACTGCCCCAGCGGGAATGAAGCTCCAGGTGACAGCCATCCATAGTCCCTGGCCCCTTCTGGGTGGGCCTTGCAGCACAATACAAGGCAGGTGCCCTGAGCCAGAGGAGAAGGGGGCCCAGCAGCCATCAGCACCAGGGTCCCACTTCAGGCCTGGACTGAGCTCTTTGGAAGTCACCACGCATAGCTGAGGTGTGGGTCACGCCTCATGGGCTGTCTCTGGGAAGAAAATCTCTCGGCATCGTTGCACCGTGTCCTGAGGGGAGACCACACTGTGGCCAACAGTCCGGGGGTCAGCAAAGATCTCAAAGTCGTTCCCGCCCTGCACGCAGAGAGCAAGAAGGCTTATTTAGGTGGAGCCTGGAGGAGGCTCTCAGGGCAGAGCCAGCAGCCACCCTGGGTTCTACCTACAGAGTGGCCCTCCTCCCGCCCCCTCAAACACACCAGGAAGCTCATCTTGGCCTTTGCTAGACCTGACCTGACTTTTTGGGTGACCTGGAACAAGAGTTGTTTCTCTCCCTGTCCCAGCCTTCCAATCTGTGTACTGGGGCTGATAAGTAATGGAAGTTCTCCGGGAGCCCCCCAAGAGGTCTACTCTGCTGCCCTGTGTCCTGACTTTGACCTTGGGTGTTTTGGGTTGAGGGGAGACTGGGCTGGGCCTCACTCACAGGGCTGGTCTCATTCCCAAAGAAGTGGATGGTGTCAAAGCTCTCCTGGTCCAGGCTGTCCAGGCAGAAGCGCTTGTCCCAGCCCTCAGGAAAGACGTCAAAGCTGATCATGCCTCCTACGGGGCAATGGGTAGGGTAAAGGCTGAGTCCCTCCTGGGAGAGGCAGGCAAGGCTAATAGAGGGGCCCCGTGGGTGAGTTCAGTCAACGGCCTTGAGTGCCTACTCCATACCAGGCACAGGGTACAGGACAGATTCATGTTCTTCTTGGAAGTCACAACTCAGCTAGGAGAACACGTGAACAAACAAGATCACCTGGGGGACTAAGGCTGAAACTGGTGGGCAAGGAAGCCTCTGAGGAGGTGGTGACACTGAGCTGGGATATGAACCACAGTGGGGATGGCCAGGGAACAGAATACAGCCCCCAGGGCTGGGAAGAGTATCCTTGGGGGGAAGAGTATCCTTGCAACAGAAAAGGCTGAGAGAGGCAAGACCAGAGCCCTTGGCTTTATTTGGAGGGTGAGGAGGAGCAGAGCTATGCTGTGACCCAGGCTCTAACTGTCCCCTGACTCCCCTCTGGTCAACTAGGAAGGGGATGAGGCCAGCTGGGTCAGGATTAGTTGGAGGGGAAGAACACTGGCAGTAGAGGTGTGAGTGGTAGTCAGAGTCCCAATGCACTTGGGACAAAGGTCCCTGAGACTTGCTAGGAGACTGGACTAGGGACTAGGGTGGGCATGGGGCATTTACTGCTGATGGGGGAGACTGGGCCTGGTAAATACAGAGCCCTTGTTGTGCCTTAGGGTGGGAGAAAAGGAAAGGAAAGGAAGACCCAAAGGGTGTTGGGAGGGGTGGGCAGCTGGAGAGGGCCCCTATGTATATATGCTCTGCAGGGGACACGTACCTCGGGAGAACCTCAGCCCTTTGCCCGCAAACTCTGTTTTTAGTGCTTCCACGAACTTCTCTCGGATTTTCTCCTTCTGCAGAGGGGAGAGAGCAGATTGAGGCTCAGAGGACTGGCTGTGCGCCAGGGTCTGTCCTAGGAACACAGTCATGTGAGCTCACTGAGCCTTCCAGGAGGGTAGGATGTCCACTGTACAGATGAGGGGTCCCCAGGTCTGTGACTATGAACTCAGTGCTGGGTCCCCGCCAGTGGCGGTGTGGGTTGGGTATTCTGCAGGAGGTGCTAGGTATGTGGAGCAAATGCAAGGGAAAGGGGAGTCTGAGCCTCCAGCCAGTGTCTATGGCAGGGCTTAGCCCTGACAGCTCTGCTCAACAAGGCAAACTATGGTTCAAAAGCTGGGAGTGACTGTGAGTGTGGGTAGATCTGTGAGTAGGTGGCAGGCCACTCAGACAGGGCCTCAGGATGCCAGGTATGACCACAGCACTAACCATACAACAGGCTCTACTTGTGAGCAGCCTAGGAAGTCTGGCAGCACATCTGTGAACACAGAGCAGGGGGGTATTCACTCACTGGCCTGAAGACCCCTCTGAGCCTGACCTGCTGAGGCCACAGAGGGGGGAGCTGAGCCCACAAACCAGCTCCACCACACATCCCAGCTGCTGGGCCTCACAGGAGCCCCACACCGCAGCAGAGGCATGGAGGGGGGAGTCCCCCCCTGGCTGAAGCAGCAGCAAGAACTCAGTAGGGCAGTCAGCTCACAGAGAGCCTGGAAAACAGGCCAAGACAGCCACTGAGGTTTCAGAGCTTGGGAGTGGACTGACTAGCACTGCCCACCGGTCAGAGTCTATAGGACTAGACTGGAGAAACAGGCAGCAGGGAGCAGTTTGGGGTCTAGAGAAGTGGTCCAGGGAGGATGAGATATAAAGCCAGAGACCCACACTGAGATCTGAAGGCAGGGAGCCAGACCTGGTTGCTATGCCTCTCAGTGGGTGACCACAGGCACCTCACCTGATCTCTCTGAGCCATTTCCTGGACTAAAGGATGGAAAAGTAATGAACGACCCCTGCCTGCTTCCTTCTCATGGAAAACCAGAGATGAGCAATGTGAGCCACCTGTTAGATTTGGCCTTGCCTCCCAATAGATGGGTGGGCACTGGGAGCCCAGAGCCCCTACCAAAAGCCACTCTGTGGGCCTGGGACTAGAGCTAAGGGTACCCCAAACTCTGATGAGATGATTCCACATGGCCCAGAGTGGCTGTACCTCCTTCTCCAGAGAACCAGGCTGGTGACTGGATAGCCTCATGTGCCAAGTTCAGCCTCAGCAGGGACCTCAGCAGTGACCTTGAGCTGGTCACTTACCGTCTGGCCTCAGTGTCTCCATCTAAAGATGAGGACTTCTCCCCACTCCCTTCAGGGTTCTGAAGGAGAGTAAAGCAGTTGTATGGGGTCTGGGTGGAGTGGGTTATAGGACCAACAGATCCAGAATGTTCATGCTCTTCCAATATCAGAAAGGGGCGAACAGGAGCCAAAAAGACATGAGAAGGGGGGCCACGGGAAGAGTCATTGTGGGCCAACCTGGCCTCCACTTCAGGTCTATAATGTGCTCCACCTTGTCTGGTCCTCATGATAGCCATGGGACAGAGGCTACCATTATCCCCACTTTACAAGTGAGAAAACAGAGGCACATAATAGTGAAGCTACTTTCCCGTGTTAGTAGGCAAGTTGGAGGTAGAGCTGAGACTGGAGACCTGAGTGATCCCAGGTCTCAGTATGTATGGAAAGGGTCTATCTTAACTACTCCCAAGCCCCAGGATGTGGAGTAGGAGGCATCTCCAAGTCCCATCCACCCTCCAGGAAGCAGGAGAGGACTGAGGGTAGAATCAAATGTTTGCTCAGCAGCCCAACTCCCATGTGACCTTGGGCAAGTCACTACTCATCTGAGCCTTGGTTTCTTTATTCATAAAATGGGGATAACAGTGCCTATTTAATTCATTCAAAAAGTCTTTCCTGAGCACTTGCTGTGTCAGGCACAGGGATCCAGAAGTGAACAAGCTGTGGAAACCCCTTATGAAGCATGTGGTCCTGGTATGGGGACAGACAGTAACCAAGATTTCAGAATAGATGGTAGGCTTCGCACCTGTAGCACAGCGGTTATGGCGCCAGCCACATACCCTGAGGCTGGCAACTATAGTCCTAGCTACTTGGAAGGCTGAGGAAAGAGAATCGCTTAAGCCAAAGAGTTTGGGGTTGCTGTGAGCTATGATGCCACGGCATTCTACCAAGGGCAACACAGCAAGACTGTCTCAAAAAAAAAAAAAAAAAGAAATGCCCCCTAGATGCTGGCTTGGGTAAGGGTAAGCAGGGAGAAAACCAAGGCTCAGAGAGGTTAAGTGACTGACATCCTACTGGCCTATGGTCGCACAGCTGGTGGCACCTTGTCCAGTTCAGAGAACTCGATCCGTTCCTCCAGGGTGCAGCTGCGGCCGATGGGTGAGATGTTCAGCATGCCATTCCGGAACTCGATGAAGGTTCCACTGGTGATAGAAGGGGAAGGGAGGGCAAGAGCCGAGAAAACAGAATTCAAATCAGGGGAAGCTACTGAGCCCCTTCTTCCAAGCCCCACTTGGGACCACAGCCTCCCTGGATTTCAAAGGAGATGAGAATCCACCCCTTCACTCCCCTGTTAAGTCAGAGGCCTGAGTATCTCTGGGTTCCCACACTTTTCCTCCTGGGCCCCACGGTTGGAGGCCAGGCTGGGTGAGACCTCACCGCTTCTTGGGCAGTCTGAGCAGGGCCATGTAGCCAAGGCAGAAGTTTATCAAGTCTTGTAGCAGCTCCTCCCCCAGGTGGTTCTGGATGGTCTGGGCAAGAAACACAGGACTCTGAGTGTGGCCCAGGCTGCCTGACCCCAAAACAGGACAGAAGGCACCCAGGGTCAGTCCCACTGTGAAAGAGTGGGGTGCCCCTGGCCAAAGCCCTGGGGCACTGACCTGCTTGGAGAGTAGTCGTCCATGCTTATACTGCACCGTCCCATTCTCAGCAAACACATAATCAAACTTCTCGATGACTTCAGGGCCACAGAGAGGCCAGGGTAGAAGGAAAGAGTGAGTGTAAGACCAGGTCTGACTGTTAACCCCAGAGGCCACTTCCCTGGCTTCCCTCTGCAGCTTTGTTTTCTCCAAACAAGCCAGTCACACCTCTGGGCCTCTGCCCTCTGGGGACATGCAGGTCCTTCCCTAAAATGCCTTCCCTGGCTTCTACTCCTGTGATCCTCCAAGATCCATTGGATACCCCATCGTTTCTGCTGTGCCCCCACAGCCCCTCAGTATGAACTTCCTTTGGCTTAACAGCTTCTATCACTCTGTATTCTCAAGGCTGGCTGCCTCGGAGAGTCAGAGTTTTCAGAACTGGCTGCCACCAGATGTGGCTGCCGTGGGTGGGAGAGAGGTATAGGGAGCATCGTCAGGAGGTGATCACAGGGGCTGGGTAGCAGGGGATCACCTGGGCTGTGATGGGGTGCTGGAGATGCAGACAGGAGGATAACTATGGGTTTGCTAATGGAATGAACAAGAGGTGGGGAAAAGGGAAAATTCAAGGAAGTTTGTCGAGGAACTGGAGGGACCTGTTTTGACTGAGCTGAGACCAGGGGCTCTGGGCTCTAATTTCCTGGGTAACTCAGTCTTCCTCTGTTCTATAAAATAATCACGCCTACTCTAAAGGGCAGTTGTGAAGGTGAAATGAAGTAAACACGTGGTCGTTTTCAACAAATGGTAGCCATTTTTGGTTATGCTCATTTGAAAGGTGAGGAAATCAAGACTCAGCCTCGGCGGGAGGATGTGGCCTGTGCTCTTCCCAGCTGTTTCTCCACAGCCTAGCACAAGGCTTGCCACTGGAGGTGTTCACTGAATGTTTCCTCCTTCCCTACTTCAGCCCCAGAGAGGCAGCACTGGGTCTTTGAAGGTACCCGGGGATCTCCTAACTCCCCACTCCTTCTACCCCACCCCCGTTCCTACCTTCATCCCCATCACCCAGCTGCTCAGCAATCTTGGCATAGTCGGAGCCACCCACCACACCGATCTGTACTCTCCCTCGAAGCTTCTGCAGGAAGGCAGCCACCTCAGGGTCAATTTTCTGTGGGGGGAAAGCGGGAAGCACACAGGATTTTGGCTGTCAGTATTTTCAGGACCTCCCCTCAGCCCTCAGAACCAGGCAGCATAAGGTTTTTTTTAATTTTTTTTCATTCTTTTTAAATTTCAGGTTAATGAGGGTACAAACCATTAGGTTATATAATCTATACATTACAAGTAAAAATCAGAGTTGTAGTTGTGTCCTACCCTGGGAGTGTGCCACATATCCACACATTGTACCCATTGAATGGGAAGCTACGGAGACCCCTTCTTCCCCCCTTCACACTTGGATTTAACTGAGATTTTCTTTTCTGTAAGTCTGCAACTGTTAATTTTCTATGAGGCAGCACAAGGTTAAACCTCAAAAATAAGATGCACTTGGGGCGGTGCCTGTGGCTCAAAGGAGTAGGGCGCCAACCCTATATGCCGGAGGTGGCAGGTTCAAACCCAGCCCTGGCCAAAAACTGCCAAAAAGAAAAGATGTACTTGGCTTCCAGCTCTGGCACAAGCAAGCACCTTAGAAACAGAATGACCTGGAGCAAATGGTTTTGTCTTTGCCTCAACATTCCCTTATATAAAATGGGGACCATTGGGCCAGGACTGGTGGCTCACGCCTATAATCCTAGCACTCTGGGAGGATGAGGCAGTTGGAGTTCCTTGAGCTCAGGAATTCAAGACCAGCCTGAGTAAGCATGAGAACCCATCTCTACTAAAAATACCCAGGAGTGTGGTGGGCGACTATAGCAAGGGAATCACCTGAGTCCAAGAGTTTGAGGTTGCTGTGAGCTCTGATGCCATAGCACTCTACCCAAGGTGACAGAGTGAGACTTTGTCTCAAAATAAATAATAAAAACTGGAGACCATAGCAGTAATCACCTAGTGGGAGTCACTTGTAGGATTAAACATTAGGTAATTTGTCCCAAGTCCTTGGAAATGAAAAGCAATTAACTGGTGACTAATTCCATGAAAAGATCCCCACCGGGCTGGGCTCAGGGGCTCACGCCTGTAATCCTGGCACTCTGGGAGGCCGAGGTGGGTGGAATGCCTGAACTCAGGAGTTCAAGACCAGCCTGAGCAAGAGCAGGGACCCTGTCTAAAAAACAGCCAGGCATTGTGGCGGGCATCTGTAATCCCAGGTACTTGGGAGGGGGAGGCAAGAGGATCACTTGAACCCAAGAGTTTGAGATTGCTGTGAGCTAAAATGCTACAACACTCTACCGATGATGACAAAGTGAGACTTTGTCTCAAAAAATAAATAAATAAATAAATAAAGAGAAAGAAAGAAAAGATTCCCTACTGGGCTGGGCACAGTGGCTCACACCTATAATCCCAACATTCTGTAGGGCGAGGCGGGTGGATTGCCTGAGTTTACCGGTTTGAGACCAGCCTGAACCAGACCAAGACCTTGCCTCTAAAAATAGCCAGGTGTTGTGGTAGGTGCCTGTAGTCCCAGCTACTTGAGAAGCTGAGGCGAGCGAATTGCTAGAGCCCAAGAGTTGAAGCTTGCTGTGAGCGATGACGGCGACAGTACTCTACTAAAGACTCTGCCTCACAAAAAAAAAGGGGCAGTGCCTGTGGCTCAGGGAGTGGGGCGCTGGTCCCATGTACCAGGGGTGGTGGATTCAAGCCCGGCCAAAACTGCAAAAAAAAAAAAAAAATTCCCCACTAAGGAAATGTAAACTAATAATTACAGTCCATATTTTCATATTTAGATATCCAAGGCAAAGAATGTCCAGAGTAGACAATGATGTAGGGGAAGCAGCCATTCTTCAACGCTGCTGGTGAGAGTGTAAACAAGTACAGCCATTTTGGAGGGCAATTTGGCACAATCTGCTAAAAATTAAAACATATGTGCCTTGTCACCCAGCATATCCAATTCTCTTGCCCAGGTATATACTGAAGTTCACTGGAGTTTGGTTCATTGTAGCAAAAAAACTGCAAGCAACGTCTATATTTGACAGTCAGAGAATGGGAACATACTCATACCCATTCTGAAATACTATACTGTGGTTATACAGAATGAGAATTAATTGTGCTTCCAACAGGGCCGGGGCCCAAGGCATGTTATAATGCCACTTAATTAAAAATAGCCAAGGCTTGGCGTCTATAACTCAGTGGTTAGGGTGCCAGTAACACACACCAGGGCTGGGGTTCGAACCTGGCCTGGGCCTGCTAAACAACAATGACAACTATAAAAAAAAATTGCCCTTGTAGTCCCAGCTACTTGGGAGGCTGAGGCAAGAGAATCGCTTAAGCCCAAGAGTTTGAGATTGCAGTCAACTGTGACACCACAGCACTCTACTGAAGGCGACATAGTGAGACTCTGTATCGAAAAAAGAAAGAAAAAAGCCTCACAGGCTGGGTACCTGTAGATCAGTGGTTAGGGTGCTGGCCACATGCACCAGGGCTGGTGGGTTTGAACCTGGCCAGGACCTGCTAAAACAACAATGAAGACAAGAACAACAACAAAATGGCTGGGCCTTGTGGTGAGCACCTGTAGTCCCAGCTACTCGGGAGGCTGAGACAAGAAAATCGCTTAAGCCTAGGAGTTTTAGGTTGCTGTGAGCTGACACCAAGGCACTCTACCAAGGGTGACATAGTAAGGCTCTGTCTCAAAAAAAAAA